TCACGTTGTATACACAAGACCTTTGACTGGTAAATATTAAACATAGTCTCTCGTGCATCATTCGGAATCAAGTTCATCTTTGTAGTCTCGGATGTATCCGTGATGACCAATCAACACACAAAAGGATGTGACGTCAAGATGCCTCACCGGAAGCAGTACCCCAATCTTAATGTTTGACCAAAACATTGTGATGTTACGTATATGATCTTCCCAGATCACGGCTCCAACAGGAGCGATGCTAATTTCGCAAGAAACGTCATCGTCTTCCGGTATTTCAGTTAAAATTCCTTAACATGACTTATTGGTCCTATAAACATCAGTTCTAGTTAACAATGATGGGGCGAAGTGATGCTTACTTCACAACGTTACGTCCGCGGCTGACATTTTCGACGCCTTGTGTAAGCATGGCCATGAAATTGGTTTAGTTAAAGAACGACAATAACTCTCGGCCATAAAGAAAATGTTACAGTTCTAACAAATGTGACGCCCAACAAAATTTACAAAGACTCGACGGCAATTCCACAAAACCGAATGATTTCAGCTTTAATTTGAGTTGTTCTATTTATGAATCAACGATGGAACATTTTAATCCAGTTTCAATATGCAGTTTAAATTTGGCTGCAGCCAGAACGATCTGTAAACACCGGTTTCACGCGAGATCTAGACCAGTGATGATTGTTGGTCCAGACTGTTGGTGGCTCACGTCGTACTAACGTAATGGGGACTTGAGATAATGTCTGGTCATTGTCTCGCTGGATCATCAGTCATTTCGGTGTTGCTGCGCCAGCAGAAAACACCAGTGAGACAGGCCGGTCTCACCAACAGAAAATGTATCATTTGGACAATTGGCCTTCTCATTGTTCATGCATGAACATGTACAGGCTTTGACGACACGGTATATTAATCAGAATATATTCACAGCCCCGGGACTGTGTCCCTAGTCTGGCTAAAAAAAAATCTAAAACACACATACCAGTGAGCATGTTATCATAAAGACTTTGTTTCTTATAAAATCCATCATTGTAAAGTAAATTGTAATTTTGTACAGAATGTACATGGATACTTTCAACAAAACGTTAATATGATTAGAAATTCTATAACTAGGCAGACACATATAATTTTAGTGATCGTCGAGCCGGTATCAATCACATCACTAGTGGCCGTCCAGCCAGTATCAATCACATCACTAGTATATAGTATAGAAGTATTGATATGTCTACACCAGACATATTCTGTCTGTGTTGATGTATTACTGCAGTATAAGATCGGTTCCGCTAGTTTGATTTTCTCCTTTTATACACGACAGGGTAGGATTTATGTACACGACCATTTGTCACTATTATAACTTGTAATTGGGCATGCATCCGCAATAAGACCCTCGGTGGAAAGTAATAAAGTAAAAACCCAAACACTAAATAAAATTCACACTGCGAAAAAATGAATCGTCAAAATCTCTTGCAAGTTATCGTGACGCTTACACCGGAAGTCGAGAAATTCGTATTCCACACATTATTTGTTATGTGAAGAATTTTAAATGTTTCAAATTCATGGATTTATAACTATAACTTTAAACTCCTTATTCATATTTACCGACCTGTAGAATTACAAAATAATCCATTACATGTTTAGTCACACGGATTTCTTCGTGCATATCTTTGTCAAAATATGCATAATCGTGCATACCTACTGCAATATAGAATGTTCTCACAGCAGGTTTGTACATACATGCAAGAAATATGTTGTGGAAATTGTCAGCTTGGGGCATTAACGTTAATATATCTCAAGTCTAAGGTATAAACAGACATTAAAATTACAGCTATTAAACTAGCATTGCGCATGCGCTTTCTTTAACAATCTACATGCTAAGCGTTTGAAATTAGTTAAGAACTAATTAAATCACATATGAAAATTCATGTGATTGACGAGGCAGCATCTTTCATTTGTCAGATGCCTATCCGTCAACTCTAAACCAGGAGAACCCCTATTGGACACGTGATGAGTAACATTACTCACAAGTTCTGTCATTTATTAATGGAATTTGTCAGATAGGTATCAGCGACAGTTAGTGTTGATGGACATACACCGGTATGACAGTTTGTACGGAATCACCACACCGTCTTCTTCTATCACGCTAAACATCTTTATGTGACCAACAAAAAACCTTGCACAAATATAGACCAAACTGTTTAAGGAATTCATGGTTTTATATCTCTATGCAAATGATCAGAATTGTACCTTATATCAAACAAGGAAATAACCGTAAAAAACATAATAATAAGTGGTTGATGTATCGTAAGTGGGCCAATATCTTATGATCTTTATGTTGTAGACGGCACAAACACCGACAAATAAAGCAGCGTTGTTATGTAACTGGTACAAAGATGAGCTCATTTACAAGAACCAAGTTCCATACAACACAAAACAGCTAGTTAGCGATCCGAGGTGAGTTGGTGTAGTTTTGCACTGCACAGAGATCTCGGATAAGTTTTATTCATTCAGCGTTACCGATTCCAATCGGTCTGTGTATTTTAGTTTTCGTTGTAAAAGGTTGGGTAATGCTATATCTTTGGCCACGTGACTAACAATTACCGATACATCCGAGATTATGATCGAGACTTGCGAGCCTTATTATGACAACTGATGACGTCATTACACGAATGCGAACCTCTCTCGCGGGAGATCGTGTGACAAGATCGACAATTAAGGAATGTTTTGGACGGTTTGAAACTTGTTGTTCATGTTGTATGTAAGACTTCATATCTCATTAGCAAAATATGTTTTAAAGTATGAAATCAACTGTAGAATATTCTTTCTTAAAGATAATAACATGGGGTAGAAAGTGACCAGACATTTACTTATATCATCTATCTACACTCTTACGTAATTAGTGCTCCTTGCGTACCACGTGACGTGCACGACCGATGTTCCGTGTGATAGGCATACCCACACAATACTGTCAACACGTGATGTACGCGACCCCATTAGGACATTGTTCCGGTACTATTACATAGGCGGCCCATGCTTGATCAGATGGTCTACCAGACCCCTATTCTGATTAGGGATTTTATTGCCGGGAAAACAGATCGAGGCCAGACGCTCATCAGTTACTACAAGAGAAGCAGAGTTCCACATTCCCGGTAGTTACACAATTATGCGAAGATTGCAGATGATTCTGATGGGCCCGATAATCCGAAGAGATCGCTTCGCATTAAGTCAAGGGCCCCGGTAGATACATGAATGCCTTTCCTCTTGACTTTCATGTGAAATGGAGGATTTTAAATACCCCTACATAGATGTTTCTTATCTTGCACAATTTTTCTTCCCATTTCGCAAACCACCGATTTTTCCATTCGTGTGTTCAAGTTAAACATGCTTTCCCAAAATCACGTGTTTTTGGTATGTAGCTACTAGATCTCATTTGTGTGTTCGAGTCAAAATGTTTCTGACCTTAGTGTAACTAATATTTAAATGTACCTCTATGGTCACTACTGTCCACTCGTGTGAATACAACAGGTGTACTGTGGTCACGCTGAGATGTAAGCCTTTAACCATCGGTCGATCCGAGTAAATAAACCTGTTGAGATTAGTGGTCTAAATTGAGTCTAACATTTTGCGGTATCTCAGCTATCTACGTAATCACCTACACCTTAATTCCTTTAGGTGACATAAGTATAATCTTATATATTGCTAAATTGTCATCATTAAAAATTGCGAAATAATGACCTCGCTTGTTAGAGATGTCATTTTCTGACCCGTCAATGCGAAGACAGCACGCAGTTTGTACTCGACGCATGATCCATCGTACTTGTAAGGAGTAGGTCAGAAACCGGTTCTCTAGAAAATGCATAACTTCTACACGTATTACGTGTGTAACCTTACTGCGTACCTGGACTCCAGCAGAGGTCGGTGTTGACACACACCGAAAAATACATCGGTTTATATATATATATATATGTATAATGGCATGTTTGATGGCATTATACACCAATCTGATAAATGGCATCTGATAAACACCAGTTAGCTAGGGAGGTGCAACTAACAGCCCACCTAGATCCCACTCCGATACCACGGCTATATCTGATGAAAGTCAAATTACGTTTTAAAAGTCAATATTTTGGGCGAGCTTGTCACCTTAACACTCCATGACCTGACAGATAAAATTCACGACGGGTAACAGGTTCACTCTAAAAGAGTTAAAATAACACGAGTCACCTTACTGGAGTCCAAGAATGTTTAACGGAACAGCACCAAGTACTCCCTAACAATTGAACAAACTCCCGAAAGTCCAAAGACTAGCGCCAGAGCCAAAACCTGTCTCGAAAATCCACAAACATTAATTTAGTAAAAGTCCAAATAGGTCCTTAAAGTCAACTACTAAAATTAAATATTTACGTGATATTTAACATGAGATAGCGAGTTTTATATTATTGTGAATTATTGGATATAAAAAGATAATTTTAAAATGGTTCAGTCTCCAAGATATTGGCATTTTTTTAGGATATAACTAAAAATGAAATTCTTAAGAAAACTTTCAGCTCCAAGAAAAAATTCCGAGGATTTGAAATTGGCATATTTAGACACTTTTTTAAGTTGTCCTAATAGGAATTTTTTTGTGCTTGTTAGAAATAGAAAGTCGGTTTGACATATTGGTGAAATCTGCATTAAACGTGTAACTTTGTTTCCATGTGAATATTTTAATGAACCGTTATGATACAGCTGATTTTACCAACATGTCGATTAGATAAGGCTGATGTTCGTAATCGCTTTTGAACATAATTCCCAAGAAACAGGTAGCTTTGTGTTTACAGGTCACTATTATTCTAGAAAGGAAATATTTTCCCTGTATCGTTCAGAAGTAATATTCGTGGGAGTTGTTAACCCCCTTTAACATGTGAAACAGAGGTCTTTATATATAGTGACAACGTATTCCGTTGATGTGCTAATAAACCTGGACTGCTCGTGTCAACTGTCATTAGAGAAAACGAAAGTAATATACTCACCCAAAAGTGAAACTACGACGATAAGTATGTGGTAAAATCCGGATCGTAACCGACCACCGGTCCGGAATGTACCTCCTTCAGTAGCCATAACACTCAATAATCCGAACAATATTGATTACTCCAAAATCACTTAGGTGTCATCGTCCGAATTCATGTCCCGTGTCACACAATCTCTAGGACAGAGCCAGCACCATGGCGTACTGTCCTCGTGCCGTGAAGACCCTCTTGTGTTGAGTTTGTCTAACGCTACGCTATACCACCGCCTATATTACAGCCAGCAATCAGCCGACCAGCCAATCAGAGTGCCTGTTATTACTACCGCTGTCAGGCAGTGTGTTGATATATAGTAACTGACCCGAAACTTTTCAGGTTAGCAACTTAACAAGCATTCATCATAGATTGTTTATGATTTAGTATACTGTCGGGCAATGTGTGCCACTTAGGATCCGAGTACCTGTGGCCTCGGTGCCACAACCATGCCACTATGGTATTAATGCTTCATTGAAGTTTCTGTAAAGTATCATCATATACCGTTTGATGATAAAAACGATTTGTATTAAAGGAAATAGGAAAAATTGTTCCTCTGCCTCTACGCCTGGTGTCGAGGGAAAAATCAACTCTGAGTGTGTTATGTTTTATTTCTTCGTGAAATATGATGAAGTGTGTTGGGGAGTCTGTGATCCCTCTTCTGGTGTCAGAAAAAAACGAAAAACAACCTGACACATATATCGTACATGATTCCAATGAGAATAGGAAACTCATTAATAGAAAGATTTTGTCACATTCGGTATTAAATCATGCAACACAAACGTACTGGGGATTGTGTGAGGAATGTCTTTTATATGCTATACGAACCGTTTGACAGATTCTCGTGACATTTGATGAGGGAGCGCGCGTGCGAGCGGTTCCGATACAGCCAGTAAAGGGAAGTTTTATTGGTGGAAATTTGAAACAAATGTACCAGATAGCTTAGGGGAGATTTTCTGTAAACCATTACGCAAATCGTGTGCACATAGATTATGAGAGAACGATTTAAACCCGTGTTAGGAAACATGAAGCAAATGTACTGTAAAACGTTCTGAGATAGCTGAACTTGTTGCTGGAGATACACACCAGTTAAGCTCGAACTGAAACCTCGATACTCATTTACTATCGCCTCCAATATTAATGTTTTATAACTCTACCGAGTACCACAACAACTTATATCAATGTACATTATACAAGATTTTAGAAAATCCATTCCTGTCATTTAGTGTACCTTTGAAGAGGAAGATATTATAGGAGGTAAGCTGGCTAGACTTTTCCGGAGTGATTGCTTGCCACTATCGTCCTTACGATGATATGTACCTTATGCTATCGCCTCCATCTCTATACCTGCCCACTTTCATGCCCCCTGTATTCCTCCTTACGAGCTCGCCATTTTTCCGCGCCATTTAATCTTTAAGTGTAGGGTATAATAGAAAGATGAGTGGTGCAACCGCAGGCAGATAAAACTCTAATTAATAGCTGTTCCTGTACGATTTGGTGAGAATGTAAAAGAAACCGGGCCCTTTTCTAACAGTTGTACCTCCCCCCGCCTCCCGGGTCGAATACTGTATCTTCAAAGACCAGCCTACAGAGGAAGGCGAAACTTGTAGCTAGTATCATTGTTACAGTCTAGTGGTTTTCTGTACTTTAAAGTGCCAAACAATGTAAGTTTCACAGTGACATGACCATTTTGGGTATCGATGTCTGAACTTTGACCCGATAAGCCTCGTAACGAGGATGATCTCGTGTCTTTATTCGCTGATCACATGACTCTGATCAATGGCCACCGATACGATCTCGCGAGAGTGTCGTCAACAGTCGTGGTTACGTAATAACAAGGTAGTACACCTTCAATTGCGGAAATCCGAGACAAACATAAGGAAATAGAAGAAATGAAGATAATATATTAATTGCCGAGATGCGTTTAGTAACTGATTTAAAACAGAAGAGTGGATCATCTTTAGATCCACGTCCCCAGATACTGATCTCTGTCGGCGATTGATGTCGGCGCGCCCACCCATGTATACAAGATCATTGAGGATATAGGATTCGTGAGAACAAATTCTAAAAGCACCATTACAGCAATTAAGTACAAATATCCATGTATTCACCCTGATTTTCCGTACAAACGTTTCAAAAAGAAATATCCTCACCCCCCTTTTTTTTGTTAATTAAAAAACTTGTGTTTGATTTACAAAAGTTTCTAACAAACTATGTCCTGTATTTTTTTCGTATGCGTCACAGGCAGGACAGCTTGAACTGTTGATAAAGTGGCCATCACGTTGGTATGTATATGAACAATGTGTTGCTACATTACGAATGACTTATAATGTCACTTACCGCTGATTTACTATTGCCCACGCATTACTATGAGGTACTAAAACAAACATTTCATTCGCCACAGATAATTATATTTCACTCTAAAATCACAAGTCCGTATGAACGGTTTTTAACGCCCTAATACACCTTTCGTACTTTATGGTAAGATTTGCATAAGGAATTTTCTAATTTGGCAAAACGCGTTTATAAGACTTGCACTTTTTTATTCGTAAGAACGCGGAGAACATTAAAAAGTGGTAAGTTAGCATAAAAACAGTAAGGAACTGTTCACACGCGCTCACGAGAGTGAGCCAGCAGGTAGACCGGCAATAACTCATCTACTAACCAATTGAGTTAGCTGTCAGCAGCGGTAGCTTCAAGCCGTTACAAAGGCATTCCGAATAATGCGGGATCTTGCACGCGCATACGTCTTGTTTTAGAAGAAAGGTCTGCCCCTTGAAGTTTTTGCGGCTTGCCATTTCATTTGGTTTGGAATCCACAGCACGTGCATTTAAATCAAGACAACCATTCATCACGGGTCTACATAATGCGCATATATCTCGCGCATTAGAATGCTATACAGTGTGTATGATATGACTGATACCTGTACATTTCAATTACGCTCAAGGTATCGAGGACAGGGTACATTGTAGGTGTTACAATAAATATTGTTTATGTACAACATGGGGGTACATTGTAGGTGTTACAATAAATATTGTTTATGTACAACATGGTTTACATTGTAGGTGTTCCAATAAATATTGCTTATGTACAACATGGGAGTACATTGTAGGTGTTACAATAAATATTGTTTATGTACAACATGGTTTACATTGTAGTGTTACAATAAATATTGGTTTTGTACAATATGGGGGTACATTGTAGGTGTTACAATAAATATTGTTTATGTACAACATTGGGGTACATTGTGGTGTTACAATAAATATTTTTTATGTACAACATGGGGGTACATTGTGGTGTTACAATAAATATTGTTTATATACAACATTTGGGTACATTGTAGGTGTTACAATAAATATTGTTTATGTACAACATGGGGGTACATTGTGGTGTTACAATAAATATTTTTTATGTACAACATGGGGGTACATTGTGGTGTTACAATAAATATTGTTTATGTACAACATTGGGGTACATTGTAGGTGTTACAATAAATATTGTTTATGTACAACATGGGGGTACATGGTAGGTGTTACAATAAATATTGTTTATGTACAAAATGGCTTACATTGTAGGTGTTACAATAAATATTGTTTATGTACAACATGGGCGTACATTGTAGGTGTTACAATAAATATTGTTTATGTACAACATGGTTTACATTGTAGTGTTACAATAAATATTGGTTTTGTACAATATGGGGGTACATTGTAGGTGTTACAATAAATATTGTTTATGTACAACATTGGGGTACATTGTGGTGTTACAATAAATATTTTTTATGTACAACATGGGGGTACATTGTGGTGTTACAATAAATATTGTTTATATACAACATTTGGGTACATTGTAGGTGTTACAATAAATATTGTTTATGTACAACATGGGGGTACATTGTGGTGTTACAATAAATATTTTTTATGTACAACATGGGGGTACATTGTGGTGTTACAATAAATATTGTTTATGTACAACATTGGGGTACATTGTAGGTGTTACAATAAATATTGTTTATGTACAACATGGGGGTACATGGTAGGTGTTACAATAAATATTGTTTATGTACAAAATGGCTTACATTGTAGGTGTTACAATAAATATTGTTTATGTACAACATGGTTTACATTGTAGTTTTACAATAAATATTGTTTATGTACAATATGGGGGTACGTTGTAAGTGTTACAAAAAATATTGTTTATGTACAACATGGGGATACATTGTAGGTGTTACAATAAATATTGTTTAGGTACAATATGGTAGTAAATTGTGGTGTTACAATAAATATTGTTTATGTACAACATGGGGGTACATTGTAGGTGTTACAATAAATATTGTTTATGTACAAATGGGGTACATTGTGGTGTTACAATAAATATTTTTTTATGTACAACATGGGGGTACATTGTGGTGTTACAATAAATATTGTTTATGTACAATATGTTTACATTGTAGGTGTTACAATAAATATTGTTTATGTAGAACATGGTTACATTGTAGGTGTTACAATAGATATTGTTTATGTACAACATGGGGGTACATTATAGGTGTTATAATAAATATCGTTTATGTACAACATGGGGGTACATTGTAGGTGTTACAATAAATATTGTTTATGTACAATATGGGAGTACATTGTAGGTGTTCCAATAAATATTGTTTATGTAGAACATGGGGGGAACATTATAGGTGTTACAATAAATATTGTTTATGTACAACATTGTTTACATTGTAGGTGTTACAATAAATATTATTTATGTACAATATGGGGGTACATTGTGGTGTTATAATAAATATTGTTTATGTACAACATGGGGGTACATTGTAGGTGTTACAATAAATATTGTTTATGTACAACATGGTTTACATTGTAGGTGTTACAATAAATATTGTTTATGTACAACATGGGGGTACATTGTAGGTGTTACAATGAATATTGTTTATGTACAATATGGGGGTACATTGTGGTGTTATAATAAATATTGTTTATGTACAACATGGGGGTACATTGTAGGTGTTACAATAAATATTGTTTATGTACAACATGGTTTACATTGTAGGTGTTACAATGAATATTGTTTATGTACAACATGTGGGTACATTGTAGGTGGTACAATAAATATTGTTTATGTACAACATGGGGGTACATTGTA